ATAACTAAACGTACCTCTGGGGGTACTGATCCAGGATGATGTAAAATATCCTCAGTGGTGAACGGATCATGGGTTAGAATCCCTTTGCCACCAGGCCAATTGTGGGAGGTTTTCGTGGTTTTCCTCTCCATGTAAGGCTAATGCGGTTTACCTCCATAAAAAAGTCCTCCACTAAGGAAAATTTCTTCCAGTAATTTTAAAAAAAACAACAACAATAACTATGTGTTACTCTTAATGGTTCAAAGGAATGGCCTCAAATATGCTACCGATTGATTCAGTTACGAAACAATATAAATAACGTTCTTTCACTGAACAAATATACTATTTCTTGACGAAGTTGAATTCGAGAACATCAAAATAACCGCAATAAGGAAAACACGGTGGCAATAGCCAGGAGTTGGTTCTAAGTTTGGGCCTCTAAATGTTAAATTCAATTTAATAATAACGTAATTTGTCATATTACCAAAACAGTTTTTAAAGAGAATTGAAAAATTTTTTGCTCAAAGTTATAAAATTTGTTCATTAATGTAAGAAATCATTTTTAATAATTATTTTCTGTATTAGTCAGAAAATATTTTAATTATTAATTATACAAATTTTTGCATTGTTTTAAGCTGTATTATTTTGAAGGATAACGTAGTAATATTGGGTGAAATCGTTCAAGTAGTTTTTTTCTAGTAATCTTGCAAAAACAAAACGTATAGGTATTTAAACTTTTATTTTTTCAGAACTCTTCGACCAGTTTTTTTTCTTCAAATTTTGTGTTTCGCATTTTCAAATTAGTTTAAAATAGTCTAAATACTTTTATACCTAGTTAAATTGTCTTAGTTCATTATCAATTCCATAATAAGTTACCATTAAAAATGTCTCTTTCCATGGAATCTTTGAATAATAAATTCTATTCTTGTGAGAAATTTTTTTCAAATTCCTTAAGAATCGGTAGAGATTTGACAAAATACACTGAAAGTGAAATTAGCACAAAGAGACCTAAACTTTCAATCCTCTAGATGTTAGGACCCTATTTTCAGATAGAGGTACATAGATACATATTTCAATCGTCAGGAATCCAAATTCGCTGAACAAACACAGATCTTAGTAGCTAGCTTTAATAAATTAGCACATTTAATGTAACGTATTCAAAACATTTATTCCCATTAAAATGAAAAGCTGTAATTCGAATACCAGTTAATAACAATTAAAAAATGTGGTTGGAACCTCTGAATTTTTTTTAGTTACATGAGTTTATTTTGTCTCATTTATTATTTCATTATTTAAATGTTAGAGATCTTTTATAACCATCGTTGAACAACTGATCCAATTTTTTTGGGTTTACGACTTCTAATGTTCAACTACGTATCCTTGAAATTTTGAACCCAATCCAGAAGACAAAGGAGCTCCTGGATTAAGTATTGAGAGAAATTTGCATTCGTGGACGACTTCTCGATGGAACTAACCCGCATTTACTTGACATGAAGAAGAATACCACGAAAACCTCCTACTGTTAGCCTGATGTCAAGGGGACTCTAACCCATGATCCTTCTGCCACTGAGGATAATTTACGTCAGCACTGTGGTCGGTGCTAGGATTTGAACCCGGAAAACCTCATTGGAAGGCGAACGCTCTATTCCCTTTGCCATCACGGCTCAAATGTTAGAGACAATCGAATTTTGGATATATTTTTGAGAAATTAATTGTGAGTTAAAAAATTATAAATTTACACGCTTAAGTTAAAATATTATGCACTTGGTGCACATAACTGTAAATGAAACGCTTAGTACTAATCAGCCCAAATGTATATGGGCCATAGAGAGATAGGAAAATCACCTGTTTTTCGTGAGATTATAAGTTTTTCTTTTCTAATTTCGATAGTTCGAGGTTATTGTTTGAAGAAAATATATATGTTGAGAAAAATAGAGTGTTTCAAAATTCGACCTACATTTTCAGAGTCTAGATAAAAAGCGCATCCTGGGGATGAAAGTTTTCTAAATAACGTGGGGTTTCAAAACATGTTTAAAAATTAAAAATCACCAAAAAAAAAACATGCTGGTTTTGAATTCGAAGAATCTCTTAGCGGGGATTGTTGTTGCTTCGACAGACATCAAAAATAAGACTTGCCATCTTTCAGTGCCTCCGGCAATGGCCACTTCGAACAACTCTAGTAATAATTAAATAACTAAGTATCTTTTCGCTGTAGTTAAATTTTTAATGTTATTTGTAGTTGGTTTTCCGCGTGCCACCAATACCTATATGAGTTTTTTGAGATATTCATTACATATGAATGTGCTTTTTAATCTTAAGTTCCATGTTAAATTTTCTCTTCTTGATTTCCTTTTTTATACCTCTGAATTTACCGGTTGAAATTGGAAACAACCTTTATTGAATTTCTCTTCAGAAGGACCATCTCAACTTTGCTTGTGAACAATATATTATTCAACCTCAACCAGTTGCCAGGAAGGTTTAGCGAAAGAACTCACTTTTTTATAGGTAAGTTAGAGTACGCAATATGCGGATGAGTCGAGAATTTAAAACTGGTTTACTATTTTGATTCTTGGTACATTAGGTTAGGAAGCCTTTTAAATATTAATTTTCTACTCATTTCTTTTCAATAATACGCTAACTAAAGTGTCTATATTCATCTTCCTCTCTACCGGGTCGCTTTGCTCCCTCCAACTATTGAAGGAGAACCTATACTTTCAAAGTTACTTCTCATCAATTGTACTTATCCTCAGAAACAAATAAATTCTAATGATTTGGATTTGTACCCTCTTCTACCTACCTCAAAATACCACTATTATATTACAACGTCAAAGATGAGTAGTGTATAAAAGGCAGAAAAATTGCCCCCTGGGCCGTAAGGTCTCTGACGCCCAGTTCCACTCATAGAGTTTGCCAGTATTTCAACTCTATGGTTCCACTACAACGAACGAAAAATTGCCCCCTGGTCCCAACTCAAAATGCGAGTTCCATACCTGCCAACTTTCATTCCTTCCCAGAATGGAATTTCAGACTGGTTGTAATATAATTAACGAAAAACAATCTGACTCAAAAATATATTTATATTTTGATCCCGTTGAAATTCGCTTGCGCAAGCATACCTGCCAACTTTTACGCATTTGGCGTAAAATTTTATTTTTATATTTAAAGTGGTAGTAAATATATACTATTTTCTCTTTTATAAACTTAATTTTTAAATGATTTTGTTCACCACTATTTTTAAAAAATTTACGCATGTATAATAGTATGCGTTACTTTCAACTATTTCAGCTCAATTTTTTTCAATTACAATGTATTTCGTTGCTTAAAATTGAAATTTTAATTCCGTTTTAATACCACTGGGAAAAATCATAATTGAAGGAATTAAATGTTGACAGGTAAGCGCAAGGATTATTATGCTTTCATATATTTATTATAATTATTTATATGTAGTGGTGGTCAAACTCATTTATAATTATCATTATAATTCAAAAAGTTAATTGGAATAACATGAATATTGCTACCACTTTAAATATGAAAATAAAATCTTCCGGAAAATCTGGAAGAGTTGGCAGGTATGGAGTTGTATGTAGTTTCGTTGCCAAGGTGAAGAAGCAAATTCTAGGTTTACGCTTAAATTACAGATACATATTTGTCAACGTAGAAATGTGTTTTTTTACAGTAATTTAAGTGGTAGTGAAATAATAAATAAAGTATTTTTCTAAGAGTTTTTTCAAATTTTAAAAGTATTCAGAGTTGCCAAGTTGTTCCGGTCAGCTGATAAATATTTTCGAGTAGTAATCTTTTAATGTATAACTCTTGGTTTAGTAAATTTGATTTATAGGGTTCTTACTTACCTCGACTTCTAAAAACTTCAAAGGTTTATGTGGCACGCTACTTGGTTGTTACAGTAGCTCGTTATGAGACATTAATAAAGTTAGCGAAATTTGCCGAAAATCTGCAAAATTTAGTTAATATTTTTCTATCGTTTTTTAGAATATTTTGTCAAATACGGAGCAGTCGGCATCTCTGAAAATATAAAACTCGTCAGGGTACGCACACACATGGAGAAAATTAATAGCTGGTATCAATGTCGTTAAAAAGAAACTGAAAAATTCCATAACATTTGCTTCCACTATCGAAATGAACTTTCACATCTACCACCTTCTGATCTATGAAGCTGCAAACGTAATAATATAATTTGTTTTATTAATATTGCTACCACTTTTCATTATTTTCCACGTCATGCTTATGAACTCCGTCAGTAGGTCTCTTATATATATATATGTATGTATTATTTATATGAATTGAATAATACATACAATTATTAAATTATTTATAATATAAAAAATTATTTATAAAATCGAATTTGTTAATGTGAAACGTTAAAGTTTAATATTTGCTAACATTTTAAATATTTGGTAAGAATCTCTCAGCAAAAGCATGAGAACTTGATAAGTATACAAATAATATTCAATAATATTTAAAAAAAATATTTTTTAATAATTTAGGACTCGCAAAATCCATTGACAAAAGCATCAAAGAATAACATTTAATTATCAATTTCGTTCAGATATTGATTTTGATATTTTAATTAGAAATTGTTTGCAATATTTCAAGACACAAAAAAAACTTAAAACTATAAACTGAATAATACCTTGAATTCGAGTTACATTTACAATCATTTATTAATTATCATAATAATAAAATATTTTTTTATTTCAATTAAAAAATTTGACGAAATGTTAATTGATTTTTCGATGATTAAATAGTTGCTTTAGAGTAGTCCTTGGGAAAGCATGGTTGGTAGGACATGGTTGGTAGGATATATATATAAGCATTCCTATATAAAATGGAATAGATTTTTAAAAATATTATGTACACAGAAATATTATATCGTCCAGAAGGGAATTTTCTTAATTATTAATTATTGTAATATCATAGAAATAGAAGTGTAATGCATAATATTTATAATTGAAATAATTTTTTAAAAAATACACTGAAATGTTAAATTAAAGGTACGTTTTTCACGCTTTTCCAATCCTGATAGATAATTTACACAAAATTTCAGTAGCTAATTTAGCATTGTTTTCTATCAACCGTTTCCATTCACCTGATAAGAGAATATCATTCGTATGTTCTTTCATGTAATCGAGAGCTTTTGATTTCAAATCATCGTCTTGATATTCATCCGTAAGCACAATGATATCGCAAACCGTATTGCGACACATTTTTGATTTTATAAAGGAAGAACATACAATTACATATGAATGTNTTCTCAAATTGTCGATGCTTGAGATGTTTTGCGATGACGCATTGCTATTAATTTGTGGCATCGGGATAATTTCTTCAAATTCAACTACATCACTTCTGTCAGATATTGAAAAGTCACAGTTGAAACTAATCACATCGTCGCTAAGCAGTAAATTTTTGTTGGCCAGAAGTTTGTTTTTCTTGATAAAAGGTGGAAATTCCCATATTTTCACTTCCTGTTTGGGTTCGATGATGTGTTCCGATTGTCTGATTTCGTGTGCAATTCCTTCGACATCTAGCAAGGCCACTTTGCACTGAAGAACGTATCTGAAGGTGACTTCGCCAAATTTTCTGATTTTGACGCACACGTTTTCATCTTCGGAAAGGTAAAACGTCAACTCAATCCGCCAAGGACCTGGCACAAAATAATGCACCGGAGTTTCCAATGTTGATAACTTTATACTATATTTGAAAAAGCAACCACCAACACCGATTTCGGTCAAAGCAGATGTCCTGGTTGCCTTGACGTTGTGTGGAAATAAACCCCACATGATACATCGAACAGTTAAAGTGTCTTTTGGCAAGAAGACGGTTTTATCTCTAAATATTTCATTTAGACTTTTAAAATCAGGCCAACCTAATGATTCTTTTCTTTTAAAAGTAAAACTTTCAACTTTTTTCGATAATAGAGTCGTGCCATCTACGCCAAGGATTTCAAACTCGTAGCCAATGGTTACATTTTCATCGCCGCTATCCATTTCTGCCCGGCACAAGTAGCAAGAAATACAAATTTCGTTTCCATTGTCAATTCCTCTAGGGTAAAGATCCAAGCGCCATTTTGTTTCGTCCAATGTATCTGCCGTAAACCAGGGGCTCTTTACCCTTTCACCACGCTTTTGAACCCACGAACTAAAGTTTTCAATTTTCCAAATATAAGTAAAGTTGTCCTTGTCAGTTGTAACAAAAGGCATGATTTTAAAACGTATGCCTTTCAAATAATGCGTTTAAGAAATAATAAAATTTGCGTATGTTTTACTCTTTCATTTATATCAGCTGTAAAATGATAAGATATATATTTATTTTAAGACAACACGATTACACGCATTTATATCTACTGAATTTTTGACTTATCTTTCTCGTGAGACAAGATATGAAACAGTCTACATATCTCTCAAATTCTAAAAAAGAACTGAGATAAAAAAAAAAACAATGTGGATGTGACATTGGCAAAAATATTCTTAGTTTCCAACTTAATATTTTATTTAGCCGTTTAACTGACGGACTTTAATTAAGTGGCTTTATGAAAAATGTGGTAACATTATGCAAAGTTTTTTTTACTATATATAAATTAAATAGTACTTCAGAGAGCAAATAAATTTGTATAAAAGGGATACAGTTGCTTGATTTCGGGATAAGATATGTATCACAATATATATAATATATAATAATTGGCGGATTTTAATTGATATTAATTTTTTTTAACATATATAATTGTAATCGCTACGAATGAAAGATTTGAGTTACCAGTTTTTAACATTTTGAAAAGAAGACATGATTTTTAAATGAATCATCTGAAAATTTTCAACGCTTTAAAGAGCCATTTATTTCTAGTAAAGGTAAATTCAATTATTTTTGGAATTGAAATTGATATAAGAATCGTAATTGATATAAGGAAAAAAAACTAATTTATCTTATAAAAAATTAATCTTTTAATGCCATTTTTTTTGGTGGTATATTATATTTACCACGACCTATTAGGAATTTATTGACTTTTATTTTTGATTATTTATAAAATAAATTTTATAAATGCCACAAACTTCTAAAGGAATTATGCATTTTATAACTTTTATACGTATTTTTAAACTAACAAATGGTTACCAAATTTATTTAAACCCACTTCAAGAAAGCTGAAGTTATTAACAAATGGAAACCTAAATTAAAAGTGGTACAAAAGTTTACCATGGACTTTAAAAAGTGGTGGTAAGTACACTTACCTCGGCCTGCGAAAGGGCTAAATGGTTAAACAATGACTGTATGAAAGTTGTTGTTGTTATTTGACATGGTGATTATAATCTTGGAAAAGTTAATAAAAAAAGTGGTGACCAACGCTTCAAGAGACTACCGGAAATTGTTTAGGTTTCAATTTCATTTCATATTTCAGATTTCAAGTGATCAGCTTCAACATCTTTCTTTACTTTCTTTATTTAAAACAAACTGGGTACCTAGGCCGCGCAGCAGCCCTTACCCCATACATCATGAAAATCATACAGTGAATAAGACATTTGGTTTTTGTGACATTGTGGTAACACTTACAAGAATATGAACATGATTTGAAGTACACTATCTGGCCATTAATGAACGGACACCTCTCATTTCGGATACATGAGGTGCTAGTATCAAGTCAGTAGGGCGTAGTGATGCCGCGCCCCCGAATCACACCCCCGAATCCGCTTTAACCCTTCTAGGAAGGCTATCCACTAGGTGTTGGTACACGGCGGCAGGTTTTGCCCGCCATTCCTCCTGTAAGATGGCGAAGAGTTGAGTGGTGGTTTTGGGGCGTTGTGGTCTGGCCCTCAACCGGCGCTCCAACTCATCCCAAAGATGCTCAATTGGCTTGATATCGGGTCTTTGGGATGGCCAGTCAAGTTCTTGCACCCCCATTTCATCAAACTAGTCCGTGATGGCATGTGCTTTATGAATGGCAGCGTTATCGTGTTGAAACACAAACGGGCCATTACCGAACTGTTGCCACAAGGTGGGAAGCGCCGAAATGTCCAGGATGCCTCTATACCCTTCTGCGTTCAGGGTTCCACGCACTAACACCAAGGGTTCAAGGCCAAACCATGAGAAACAGGACCACACCATAATTCCTCCACCGCCGAACTTCACAGTGGGGACAATGCACTCCGGTAGGCACTGTTCTGCGGGCATTCGCCAGGTCCACACCCGTCCGTCAGAGTGCCACAACATGTAGTGTGACTCATCACTCCACATAACGCCTTTCNACCAAGGGTTCAAGGCCAAACCATGAGAAACAGGACCACACCATAATTCCTCCACCGCCGAACTTCACAGTGGGGAGAATGCACTCCGGTAGGCACTGTTCTGCGGGCATTCGCCAGGTCCACACCCGTCCATCAGAGTGCCACAACATGTAGTGTGACTCATCACTCCACATAACGCCTTTCCATTGCTCTACTGTCCACTGGCAACGTGCTCTGCAACACTGAAATCGGTGGCGGGTGCTTGATGGAGAGATGTTTGGTTTATGTGCTGCTGCTCGTCCATGGAATCCTTGTGCAATCAGCTCCCGTCGAATGGTACGTGTATTGGCAACACTGCCAGATGCAGCCCGGATGCTGGTAGCGACAGTGTCCAACGACATTTGTCGGTTTGCCTTCACTGCACGTCGAAGAGATCGTCGATCCCTGTCGGACATTATTTTGGGCTTGCCGGGTCGGGACTGCGGTTTTATCACTCCCTCTCGTTCCCATTTCAACACGACGTCACCAACTGTTGACCGATGTATCTGAAACTTGTCGGAGATGGCACGTATGGAATGACCAAATCGGTGGGAGCCTATGATCATGCCCTTTTCCGCCTCATTCAGCTCTCACCGTCCACTCATTTTCACTGTTAACGCTCGTATGGCCGTC